CAGCCAACGCAAGGAACTCGCGCGGATGCTCGAGAGCCTCGTTGATCTGAAGAGCGAGCCGGATGCCATACCGGACACTCCAAATGTCGAGAGCGAGAACCGCAAACATCTGCTCAGGCTCTATCCCCTGCTGGTTGGGGCTACCAAGGTCGCTGGGACGAGCGGGGACGAGAAGGTGCTTCTTATGTTGACGAGGGCGCTGGGGGTCGTTGGTTCGGAATTGGGGGTTTGATGCATTTCCCCGCTAGAATATTTGTACTTCATTGGCCATTAGATATGGGGTGGCCGTCGTGGTCATGGTTCAGGTGGCTTGTTTGTTACTTTACTCTGTGCTAGATAGTTATATAACACATTCGAATCGCTGGCCTCAGAGAGTTGACATATTTAAATATTCGAGCCCCAGGACTCTGCCAACCATGGTAATATTGTAGCTCGCCGAGGGCATGTTGAGTTGTGTGGGTTTTTTTCCTTGTTGTATAGAGTCACAAATCCATATATGATATGATGACAGGCCATCCGCCCATGCCAACGCCATGCTCTCACTCTTTTTTAATCTTAGCCCCCCTTTCGCTGATTCCACTTAACCCCCTTCCACCCATCACCCATCACCCTTCACACATTAGGAACAAGTCGTAATATAACATACATAAGGCTCTCCGGATTCTGCCTTTTTTCATCGTCTCTGTTACTACTGCTCGTAGTTATAGTAAATTGATGCACTGCTCGTCATCGTCCAACCCAGATGATCTACCTCACTTCCTGTTCGCCGTGTTCTCGAACTCCCGCACCATCGAGTCCACCACGGTAGCATTGCTAGGCTTCGCGCCCGCCTCAGCCTCGGCCTCCGACCCCTCCAGCACGGCCGCGGAATCCTCGCCGCCACTCCCTCCCTTCTCCAGCAACCGCTTGGCCATGGTGCGGCTCTGGGCCTCGCCGACCTTGCCGTAGACGCTGAGGCCGGCGGCGATCATGCCGCCGATATCGCCGACGTTGCCGGGGACGACGACGGCGGTGCTCTCGCGGGCGAGCTTGCCGAACGCGTCGACGTACTTCTCGGCGACGGTCAGGCTGACGGCGCCGTGGGCGGAGGCGCCGCCGGACGCGATGCTGGCGCCGACGGCGTCGATGCCGCGGGCGGTGGCCTCGGCGCGCAGGAGGATGGCCTCGGCCTCGCCGTGGGCGCGGTTGATCTTCTCGGCGCGCAGGGCCTCGGACGCCAGGATGACGCTCTGCTTCTTGCCCTCGGCGATGTTGATCGCGCTCTGGCGCTGGCCCTCCGAGTCGAGGATCTCGGCGCGCTTCGACCGCTCCGCGGTCACTTGCCGGTGCATCGCCTCCACCACCGCCCCCGGCGCGTGGATGTCCCGAATCTCGTACCGCAGGCACGTCACGCCCCACGCCTGCGCCGCCTCGTTGATCGCCGCCGTGATGTTCGTGTTCAGCGCCGCCCGCTCCTTGAGCACGTGGTCGAGGGTTAGCTGGCCGATCTCGCTGCGCATTGTCGTCTGCGCTAGTTGCGAGATCGCGTACTCGGCGTCTTCGACTCCGTAGCTGCGTGTGGACGTCAGTATATATATGAAGTAGGTCTCGGGTGGGTAATCTGTATATATATATATATATATATATGGGCGACCGGTCACACATACCTCGCCTTATAAGCATCGAATACCCGCGTATACAGCACGCCGTCCAGCTCCAGCGTCACATTGTCGGCGGTGATGGCGCTCTGGCTCGGGATCTCAATAGCGACCTCCTTCAGGCTCTTGACGTAGGCGATGCGGTCGATGAAGGGCACAAGGATGGCCAGGCCCGGCTCCAGTATGCGGTTAAACTTTCCCATGCGCTCGACAAGCCATGCTGTCTGCTGCGGCACAAAGCGGATTATGGTGTTGGCGGGGAGGGAGGGTCGTTGGAAGTAGGAGGGCGGAACGGTACCTAGGCTGCTGGGGGGCCCGAAGCTCGTGCCGACGGACGATGACGGGGCGAGGGATCTGGTACTTTGGTGGAATGTTCGTAGAGCTACGAGGGCTAGTGGCGTTCTCGTTGCTATTGCTGTTGCTGTTGTCGCTGTGAGCAGAAGGGATTTTCGTTGGGCAGCGCGCCGTATGGTCGCTGACAGGACCTTCTCAGCTCTGGTCAGCGACATGGTTGCTGTAGCTGGTCGGTGGTTGGCTGGCAGAGGCTGAAGGTCTCGTGCAGTGAGTGGCAGCTTTGGTCAAAATGGTGATGGCATTTTTGGGGGAGCTCGTCAATTGCTCGGCGTTTGCCATCGGAGCTTGGGTGGACATCCCCGGAAAGCTTGCGCCGGCTCGGGTTTATATTGATGCAATGCTCATGTACACAGTATCCTTACGCACGATATCCACTGTATCTGGAGTCACCTTCGTAGCTTCGACACTCAGCTTATTAGACCGGAATGGCAGGAACATTGAAATCATTGGACTTGACTTCGTTCATTCTCAATTGAGGTTCAAGGTCTTCGTACCTGTACAGCTCATTCATCCACCTCCTAATCCCAGGACTAGTGCACCTTGATCTTGCCACCTCCCGGCTTGCTAATATCGTCTAGAACTGAATAAAGTGATTGTGTTTCAGCTGATTGTCCTCCACCTTCTGTTTTCTCCAGTTCGCGGCGATGTGGTATGCGACTGAAGCATTGATAGCATGCCACCTTCAGACAACTCTTGCACTGAAACATATCTTCCAGAGAATGGCTGCCAACCCGACACCCCATGTTGGGACTTTTCACAAGCCAGTTGAGTGATCCCAAGTGCTCACATCCGTTACTGGGACCCGGCTCCTTGAGACTGTATGTACTTTCCTGTTGAGTCACTACATTTCTTGAGTTAGCCATCGGTATGCCTGCGATACTCGGCATTGACAATGAGCCGTGAAATGCAAGACAGCCAAGGAGACTGTGAACGATATCATGGGAATAAATAGGGGTTTGGATAAGCCTTGCTGGCACATACACTGCTTCCTTTTCTTCGCCCTGCGCATAGCGTTCTCTCTCATTAGGACTTTACGTGGGGCATGGTCGCAGTTGCAGTCGGGATCCTTTCTTCCACAGGCGAAACAAAAGATGAAGCCACATAGGCATCTAGATTGTCTAATTAGTCTTACAGCGGGAGGTAAGTCATGATAGAAGAGACGTACTTCACTATGTTACAGCATCCCCGAAGTTCATATACAAATCTACATTTCCAACACCTGTGCGAGCCGTTCTCTTCAATTGCCTCTTGAAACGCTCTATCGTTTGGGTCTTGCCAACAGTTCCCTTTATGATTTGCTTCGCCGCACCAGATGCAAGTTAGCTTACCACAACCCGGGTTAGGACACAGTTCGGCGTATGGGTTTCCGGAGCGAAGAATCAAGGCCCTACAGTCCGGGTCATGGCAGTACAGCGGATCGCAGCCGACCCTCGGATCGGAATTCCAATACTCGATCTGCTTCTTGGTGTAATCCTGCGCTGTTTCATCGCCCATAGCCTCCTTGGTCTCCGCGTCTACTTCAATGACAACCTGGTGGTTACTGCATCTTGCGGGAGTATATCTTTTGGTCGTAAGTGCCTGCTGGAAACGCTCCTTTAGGCAGTCCGGGTGATACACACAGCCGCATTCTAAGATGATAGCACAGGTATGCTGATAAATGATGTGTTTCTTGCAAAAGGCACACTTTTGGGTTTTGTGGGACTCGCCTACAGCAGGCTTGTGGGTATTGCCGCTTCGTTTGAACAAGCCAGACATGATAGCCTCTGTTCTTCTATGGTTGATTGAGGATTGCCCTTATGAAATGAGAAGCATGAGATTGAGGGAGAAGTTGGGAAGTTCTTCCATGCGCTCTATGATGATACCAGGGGTTTGGGTAAGTTGCTATCCACGTATCCATCCGGGAGGTTTACATATACAAAATCGCCTGTCAAATCCTGTCATCTAGTGCTAGAGTGACAACACATATCCTGGGATGGTAGTCATATCATGCTCTATTTGCCATTCCGACGCCTACGTGGACAGTCACATTCTCCTCCTAACCACGTCAGTTACGGCTTATACGTTCACTGTTAACTAGGTTCCCTCATATACCAGCACCCGATCTTGATTCGAACAGTACACCAGAATGCTTGCAAGTATATCAGTATTACGCATTGCGATACTGGGTCAGTAGCAAGTTGTGGCTTTGATAACAACGTGTTCTCCTGCTGGCAGGACTCGAGATGGGTAAAGACTACAGCTTCTCATAGCCGGTCTGGGCAGCAGACGTAATGGAAACGTGCCTATGCTCAGGCCGAATTCTTTACAAGACTACATTGTTAAGTATGTGTGTCATCCAGGCCAAATCAGCAGACATTGCTATAATACCAGATACTAGCCAATAGTTGATGAGTCTAACTCACACGCCAGCTCCTGTACGCCAGTTCTTCATAGTATGTGCAAGGTGATACGATGTCTAGCCACGGCGCCAGTGCTACATTGCTAGATAGTGAATATACATGTATACCGGTGACCGATTCCAAGATAAGAGAACGATATAACCCGTTCTAGTGGACCACTTCCTGTGTCATCCACCTAGAGTCTGGCTGTAAAACGGGTTTTCGCTGGTCCATGTTGAAACCTTCATTCACTAGGTGAAGCATTTCTAGGTACTACGTATCAAGGTTATTGAAAATCTTTAGCAGTGAACGGGCTACAATTATATCGAATGATTTCCAACCCACTTCCTTGGTTTAACATCTCGATGATACGGGCCAGTCTGTTGAGACAATGCAACCATTTGTATCTACAGAAATAGATGCGGCTTTATCTTACATCATGCATCACTACATGTGTCATACTTGCCATAGGATAGTAGGAATATAGACAACGAGGAAGTTGGTATATCTATTGGGATAATCTTGCATGCACTGAAATTCCAATGTGGACATCTTGATGGCCAAAGTAACTTCGCGTTTGCTGTGATAGTAAATAATAAGCACTTGAATCTTACAACCAATCAGAAAGTAACTCTCGATAGCTCAGTTGGTTTAGAGCGCTCGGCTGTAATTGAATTCATGGTACCGAGAGGTCGCTAGTTCGATTCTGGCTCGAGAGATCTGATAATTTTTTGTCTTTTTTTTCCCTCAATAAACATGCTCAGTTGATCTGGTTTGCGACCGACATAGCTTTGCTCTATCTCTTTTGCGCGACTTAGTCTACTAAACTTGTTAAAAGGAGCACAAATATTTTGCTGCTCACGAGATTGTTGTCGCGCTCTACAGAATTCAATGACATAACGTCTCAATCAATTGCACTGCATTACGCTGCCCATGATGTTTATATGCCGACAAACATTGCACTACGTAGTGGATAGGTAACGCACCTAGGTCAGCTGTCGCATTGGCCATCAATAGCTATCGCGACAGCGATTGTTCATTTCATAAGCGCGATATTTTTACTTTATTGCATTGGTAAGACGAATAAGACGCGATCTTCTCAAAACTAAGGAACACTAACAGGCAATAACCAGGCGCCCGATCCGCCGGCCCAACCATGAAGTGAACTTATATTCCAAGGCAACCGAGAAAACATACGAACATGACCGGTGCGAGTGACCAATGATATCTAGATGCACCGGTTACTTTATGTCCTATGAGGCGGCATCACTTGGATCATGATAAGGCATGTTGTCCCACCAGTTGACCATTTAACGAGAGCATTATCTAGGCCATCTAATATCTCCTTGGCCAAGCTCAATGCCAACCAAGAATTTGTCTGATTGTGGAGTTACCTAGTTATTTTTTTCTCATTGAAGAAATGGAAGGCCAATCTCGCGGGAAAAGTAGTCAAGAGGGCACCGAATCTTCAGCAAGTGGCTGGCGTAATCATTGAGCAGCATGACACTAGCCTCATGAATCCCATGGTTGCCACGCATTTGGGAAATATTGCACCAAGGACTCATTACTCAAGGGCAGTAAGATTGACCTGGAATAATGACATTGGGACACTGTGATGTAGGGAACTAGATGTGATAGAACCTGTCCGCAAAGCTAAAGCCTCAGCGTCGTTGTTAACTGACAGTCGCAACCTGATCTAGGCCTTATTGAACAAAGTGAATGTAGCCGAACCATGTGTGATTACTGGCGCCCAAACAAGTAAGAAAAGGCCTACCAATGATAGTCGTACCTACGTACCCTTTATGAGTAATCCTCCCAGTATAAGGCTACGCCCAACTTTAATGCCTACGAAAGACCCCTTCAGAGAATGACGCATTGGTTTACCTAGTTGATTAAATGAAGAATTGTTTAATATCAGGCGGAAATGAAGTATGCTTGTCTATAGTCCCTGTATCACGTAGGTATGGTTGGACTGACTATTCTTCTCGAGACGATCCTTGTCCTTAGGGAGTTCGTGCTCTGTCTCATTGAATCATCTCGGATATGTAAAAGAGGCATCAATGCGTAGAATGGTAAGCACGGAATAAGTTCTCATAAACGGCCAGAGCGATGTACTCTAAAGATGCTGGTACTAGACCAACCTTCAATTCATTATATACAGGACCAGCCTGAATTGGTACATTCTTTTTTTCATATGGTGTTTCCCGTATGATCCCTCAATCAGATTTTCCGGTTTGGTTGGAGTTGCCGTCTTCTTTCCTGAGCCTCTTCTTTGATTTGCCTGCTTTCGGGGCACGTTTCTTCCTTATTCCGCCTGCTTTGGCGGTACGCCTCTTCCTGCCCCTGGAACGCTGTATACGTGTCAAGGTGGCGCCAGTGTTTTGCGCAGCAGATCTGGTGTTATTTGGTGCTAGATCCTCATCGTGACACTTATTGCAGATGAAATAAGTCTGGACATACTGCCAGCTGCCTGGGTTTGTCTCATTGCAGCCGTTGGCGGAATCGTTGGGCTGCAAATTAGTAGGCTCTTCGGTGTTTCGACATGGAATGCTGGGACGGATGCGCATGAGCGAATTATTTGGGGCATCTGCCGGAACGGGTTGGATATCTGTATCCATCGTGTATCTCAGAGCAACCTTGACAGCATTGTGAAATGCGTCGGCTGTATGTTGTCTATCTTCGTCGGATGGATGGGCGACGTATTGAATCAATGTATCTTCATCGTCAAAGATGACCTCGAAACATAGATGAACAGTATGCGATGAATCCGTGGCAGGCTGTCTGGCTGCTTGGATAGCTAACTCGTTGGATGGAGCCGAAATCATGATCTATCGAGTGAAACGCCTGCGTTTCAGAATGTGCACCTGAAGTATGTAATATGAAAGAAAGTAGATTGATGCTTGCCCAGAAAGGATATTTCATATGGGTTGTATGGGTGACTTTTATCATATTTGAACAGACAGCTGTTGGTTGCGACATTTCGTACTACTCATTCGACAGCAACTAACAATACTCCAATATCTTTATTGGACCATCTGTGAATGTTTGGATAAGAGTTTATTGGCTGGTTGATTGTCCTAAGGTGTTTGCGTGTGATTCATGCCTTGATCACGAGATACATTGTTAGTCTAGGTTCTTTATCCCGGCTACTAAGCGAGGTGTAGGTTGGGCCTCTTTTCATTCTTTTTGTCTGGCCAATATTCACAGCCTTCCATCTAACAAGCCGAACAAAGGGATTCTTTTATCATTACCTTCCTATAACATGAGCCAACTCAATCTTGTATGGCCTAAATAAGTCTGATGAAGCCACCGTCATGTGCTCCTTATATGCCCCTTGCTAACTGACCATAATTGACCATACTTTCAAATCCCAATCATGCCCATCTTCTATAGGCTGCCTTAGAGCGATGCAAGCAGTCATTTATTTTCGTTACTCTAGTCTTCATCTCCATCACTAATATAATCTTTGTCGTCAATGCGTTCATTACGATTGCGTTTCATAATCTGAAAATTATTTTCCCCTTGGGAAATCCGCTCTTTATCACTAGGCTCAACTGTTGATTTAATGTAAGCTACCAAATTCATGTCACAATATGTCATTATTAACACACATACCATGTTCAAACCAAAGCTCGACGGTCGTGCTTGTTGAAGCGTTCATATATCGTTCTTTGGTGCCAAGCGGCTTGAGAGCAAGATTCGTGATTGTTACTCGTAAGTCTTTGTCTCTAAAGTTTATAGTTGGCAGCTTTGAAGGAGGTTCGTCGATATCGACAAGCTTCACCATCAACTTGTGATCAAATGGCTTCTCCCCATCCATCCGTGGCCCAATACTGATGGCTGTACTCCGGACGCCGAAAGGGCCCAATCCCGTTTGTGCAATGGCTGTGGAAGCCTGTCGCCTGCGGGATTCCATCGCCTTTTGTTCCTCTTCTTCGGCTGGGCCGAGAGAAGTAGTGGATGGCTTGACTACCATTTTCGTTTCTGGCTCTAGTCTCTGGTAAAAGAAACTCGAGTAGTCAATACCCGGCTTCCGCCCGCAGTTATAAACCATGGGCTCGATTCTTGCGACAGTAGGTAATCAGTCATATGTATGTGTTTGCTTTCTGTTTGTTTCTTTCGTAACACACTATGTCCTAGTTGGTTGTCTCTTATGCTTAATGATGAGTCAGTACGTATCAAACGAAATGAGAGACGACCATGCGACTCAGCAAACAACGTACACTGTTTCTTTAACACTTCTACCGAGGGTTGTTATGCAGACTTCCCTCTACCTCTCTTTCACTATATTTTCATTTTGGTCTTCTTGCTTCCCAGAGCACGCATGGAGATTGGCACCAGACATGATCTCAGGGGCATGATGTTAGGACGGCGCCAAATTACCAGTATAGCCACACGTCCATCCTTGTTGGTATCAATCCACAACGAATACTCTCAAATTACAATGGAGTGCGTATAGGTCGGAACCCCCGTTCATGCTTCAGGATTCCCCCATCTTGTTTATCCGAGATCCCGATACCTTAGAATCGAATTATAGTAACTCTAGATGCATGGGGAACACAAGAATGGTTGCCACTGACCATACAAATAACACACATAGACCTGTGGTAACATAGCGACTGGCAGCATGCAGTTAGCAATGAAATGTAGGTTTTTTTATATAGTCAAGGCTCATATTCCGTACTCGAACCCCGAATACGGGACAGATATGATACTCATTTTGGACTACTTAAATCTGACAGCTTCATGACCTTCATAGGCACATTACTGGCTAGCTAATTGGTTGTAATACAATTTCATCTAAAATGTGAATCATACGTACCTACCTAGCCCGGCATTTCTGAGAAACTAAATCACGTTCGTGTCATAATCATGTATAGTACATTCAGTCAACCAGTCCACGGTCTAACCCCTTGTCACCCCACAGGCTGGTCCCCAAATACCCCAGATGTTAGCCGGTGTTCAACTATCCGTTTCGGGATCCCCGTTTGGGTCCTCAGGCAAAGATCAGGCTATTTAGGTCACGAATTCACACTCAATAGGCCCATAATATGGGACGAGAGCCTATCAATTAGCGTTGGTGCTAGGCTGAACCCAATAATGCATCGCGTCCAAAAGGACGATATCCGGCGAACCGGCGAATTTGCCGATGATAAGCACTCTAATGCAACTATGTTCGCCTCAGGGCGCCAGCACGATAATTCCTTCTAGATGATTTCGAAATAGAAAACTTGAAGTCCTACTACATTGTCACAGATTGATTATATTACTGCTAAGTTCCCATTTCTCCCGAGCTTCTAGTAGTCATCTTACATAAGATCGTAAGACTCATCATCAAGAAACTCATACTTATTAGTTTCGATAGCCTCGCATTATTCCAAAAGCAAGGACGTCACACCGTCTTGGGGTAATCATGGGGGATTCATTAATTCGCAAGAACGACACCAGTCTGCAAGTGACCGAGGAGAAAAGGGTGTTAGATGCTGACGAGCTGCGTCTGGCCCAGATGGGTAAGGGGTTTGGATGAATGTCTGCTTCTTACAGCATGCTGATGAAGTGAAGGCCACACGCAAGAACTCAAACGGCATTTCACAATCTTATCATTGATAGGTCTTGCATCAACGACGACGATCTCCTGGACAGGCCTTGGCTTGGGAATCGTGACCGAAATTAGTGCTGGTGGGCCAGGAGCGATTATATATGGCTTCATACTCGTGAC